AGAACAGTACTAAAACAGATTATTCGTTGTACTTGGGAGATGCTGTTTTCTTAATCTTTTTCTTTTATCTTCCTTATAACAGCAGAAAAAATGGTATTCAGAGTATGAATTTTCAGAGTAGTAGTAGCAGTTGTAGTTGTTGTTGTGTGCCCTTGTAGTTTCTGACTTATGGCTACACCAAGGCATTCCATAACAGGATTTTCTAGCACTGCAAGTGTGTAACTTGCCCAAGGTCACCCAGTAGGTTTCCATGGTCATGTGGGAGATTAAAATCTGGTCTCCAGGGTTCACTCAACCACCACACCATGCTGTCTCTCTTTGGAAAGTTATTTCTGAGAAGACGTTTTTCATATGCAGTATTTCAGAACACCTCACCAAATATATGATCTATATCAGTGGCTGATAACCTTATGTTCCCAGTTCTGGTTGGGCTTGAATTCTAAAAAGTCTCAGACAATATGACTGTGGGTAAGGAATCTGGGAGTTGCAATCCAAGGGTTGACAATCTGCAATTGGAAGAGGACAGACAATAGAGGAAAAAGATTGTGTGGAAGAGAATAAACAAAGACATTGATGAAACGGAAGGGGAAAGACATGCCTTATTTCAGTTAGGCATATTTAGGCATTCACATCATGAGGAGCAAATGAAGTTGTGAAGGAAAATTATGTAAAGTGAATGAGAGTCAACTGCGAATTGCACATTTGCAATTCAGCTTGGAAAAAAAAACCAAGAATTAGAATACAATGTTTGTACCTTCTTGTGCTGTAAAAAAACACAGATATGAGGGGATCTTTATCCAAACGAGTTACAATCTATAATAGATCAGATAATCAGGCATCAGGGAAAATAAAGCCATTCAAAGGAGAGTTGCGTGAAAACAGATGTAGGGGCTTGTAATGAAGAAGTCCAGGAAAAGGAGACAACGAGGCAAGAGAAGACTATCATATTCTAATTTCTGCAGATCAGAGGGCATGAGAAGGAAGACAATGAAGAAGAACACTGGGTGGAGAAGAACTTTATAAAAGTGAAAAGTAGAATATAGCAATGACAGCAAGCAAAATTATGTAGTACTGATGGAGTATTACATAGTTTCAGATGTTGTCAGACTACAGCTACCAACAATTGGTACCAATGCTACATAGGGCTCAGAGTAGCAATCCAATAATATCTGGAAAGTCAAAGGTGACTCTTGCTTTAAGGAGAAGGACTGTTGTTATGATTTTAAATTATTTTATTGAGTATTCCTTGGGGTTAGAATTATTCATAAGTGTCAAAAACTCAAAATTCAAGATTTCAAGAAACTGATGGACCATAACATAAACATTTGCTTGGCCCAACTGGTGACACATACATTGTTGTGACATATACCTCCCAAATGTGCTGGCATTGACAATTATTTAAATTTAGAAAAACTCATTAGATCAAAGGCGGCATGGAGAGCTGTAGTATAAAGTCCCTGGCCTGATTCCTAGGATTTCTGGCTAATTGATTTCAAGGAAAAGAGACCAATCTGTGACCCAGAAGGGCTGCTACAATTGACAATATCTGACAAGTTAGAACATTAATCTTTTTCAGTGAAATAGCTATCACTTTATTTCAGGAAAAATTAAAATAACTCCAGAAAATTATCTAAATTCAAATACAAATGAAAAGAAACTAATACAAATGGAATAAGGTGGGAATTTTTAGAAGGATCAATCAGAGTTTTTCATACTTCTTGGCATGACATGCTATTCTTGTAAAGTTAAAAAGTCAGGTCTAAAGAACATACCAATACATGAAAAATCTATTTTCTGAAAACATTTCCTAGGCTGACTTGACTAATATAGATAATCCACCCTGTCTCCTACCACAAACCTGCATGATCTCTTCGATTCTCTGGAGAGGCCCTTCTTTCACCCCTTCCTCTATCACAGGCTTGACTTTTGGGAATGAGAGAGAGGGCCTTCTCTGCTCTGCCCCCCCCCCCAATTTTTGTAACTCACTCCCTGGGGAGATCAGGCAAGCCCCTACCCTAGCTGCTTTCAAGAAAGATCTAAAAACTTGGCTCTTCTGATGTGCCTTCGGAGAGTGACCACTCAACTCATTTGTTTCCACCTACAGTTGTCCTTCCCCTGTCCCCTATAAAGGCCAAACTCCACTGCTCCTCTTTCTCAGACTCCTCTCTCATAAATGCACTTTTCATTCCTATCTCACCCAGAGTCTTAACCTTTTAACATTTTATCTCACACATCTGTCCCACCCTTTGTGTTTGATTTTATTATGCCATTTTATATTGTCTATTTTATTTTATTTGTTATTTTATATATTTTGTTATGATGTTTTTCTTTGCTATTTTGTATCTAATTATGTTGTATTATTTTGGGCTTGGCCTCATGTCAGCCGCCCCGAGTCCCCTTTGGGGAGATGGTGGCGGGTTAAAAATAAAGATGATGATGATAATTATTATTATTGTTGTTGTTGTCTGGAGTATTCTGGATGCTGTAAGTTTCCCAAACCCCATGTTTTATTCTTGTTACTTGCTAGTGCTGAAGCATCATAGTAATTCACATAGAAATGAACTACTTTGTAATAAATGTATGAGTGTCTTAAAATAAGGTCCCCATGAAGGGGAGGGAAGAAGCCAAATCAACCATAGATGATGTATCTGTTACTCAACAATGCTCACTTTTCTTACTGGTGAGATATTTTTATTTTTGTACTCCGTGTGCCTACAGTGTACAAGGCCCATGTGTGTTACCAAAGTTTGGGAAGAAGTCTGTTTTCTTGCTTTGTTTTGAACATTAGAAATTATCACCATCTATATGGAGGCAAACCTTTACAATTTTTTCCACCTGAGAAATGTCAATTGGCAATATGTCAGTTCTCTTTTCATTTAGACTAAATTATCACATTCATTTTATTGAGGATAAGGGAGGGTTGGGGGAAAGGGCGAATGCTCTGTTTATCTTTCCAAAATGCCAAAGAAAAAGCCATAATCATTTCTCTATTTTATATAAAAGACTTCACATAAGAAACCTAATCACGAGAGCTTCCTTTTTTTTCCTGCTGGAGATATACAAAAATCTGTATATATGTTCAGTAGGCAGGAGTTCACTGAGAATAAAATACGAGGGTTTGTAGTATGAAGTCCCTGGCCTGTTTCCTAGAACTTCTGGATAATGGATTTCAAGGAAGAGAGAACATACAAGACCACTGTAAAAGATACTGCTTCCCTGATCCAGTTCACTCAAAAATATACTTCTCTTAATATTTCTTTTTTCAAAATTTGGAAAAACAAATGATGGCCATCTGTCAGGGGTGCTTGGATGTTCCTGCAGGGCAGGGGGTTGGACTAGATAGCCCGTGGTCTCTTCCAGTTCTATGATTCTATGATATGATTTTGTGATTAATTTAAATGATGCTTGTAATGCCACCCAATCTTCTACTGATCCATACTCTTCTGCAGAGGTCAGGGTGAAGCAACGTGGCTTCATGCTTTATTCTCACTGCATTACTCCCCACCAACTCTGATTCAGATAAAAACATTACAACAGTCCTCATCCTTTTGTCTTTCTAAGCATAGCAAGTGTGGTGCTAGAGGGTTTTTTTTTTAAAAAAACCCCAATATTGTACACTGTTCATATCTTTTCATTAATCTGCCTTCTATTATGCATAAGCATCTCTCATGTGGGGTTACAATTCATTCATAACCAAGTACAGCATATGAGTAATTTAAAATGGTCACTGAGAATGTAAATCATTTTTCATGGCAACACTGCATTTGTATAACTTACCTCTGTTAGATCATTTTGGCATAAGCTTCATGTTTTGCCATAGATATAAGTTTTAAACCATGCTTCATTCTAACATATACCAAGGCAGTAAAAGCTTTGCCAATTTAACAAATTGAAATAATTAAAGAATCAGCATTGTATAGTATGTACATTACTCGGTGTGGATGGGGAAAAGCTTGGGTAAATAATTGCTATTTAGCTTAAACTATCTCACGGGTTAAGATATGAAACAAAAACACTACCAGGAGCTACTTGAGAATAAGAGTTGGTCTGTTTGTCTGTCTGTCTAGCTATGAATGAAATACAAGCATTGTTATCTTCTTACAACATGAGACAAGTTAGTGAGACAGAATACGGGCAAGGTGCTCCTGCTGGCTCAAGTGACTCACCTTTTATTTAGCCTGATTATTATTTGTTCACACACACACATGCACCCCCCCCCCAATAATATTAATAATAAAGACATCAATAAATCAGTAATAAAAATAAGGGAGGCAACACGGAAGACAGGAGCTCAAGTCTTGACAAAAAGGGCACACCTTTTTGTCTATTTGTTGGACTTAAAAGGGAAAGGGAAGAAACAATCTAATAATGTTCCTTTATTAAAGGATACAAGATTTTAAAAAATGTTGTGACAAAGAGCTACTTAGGCAGCTCTGTCTAAATACTGTTTCTGCTATCTAGATAGGGCTGTAGGGGGAAAATCAGAGAGTGAAAGCACCTATTGTTGGTTGTGTCCTCAAAGCCGACTTGTTGGGGGAATATAAATAGCAATAATATCAGATGTTAGCCATTGTCAGCCTGACTAGAGTATATATCAACAATCTCCAGTTTCATATTTCTGATTGAATGTCTGCATTGTCCACTTTGGAGTTTAGATGGAAAAATATATGCCCTTACTAATGGACATCTTAATGTGATTATTATCTGCCTTTTAGAGCATGAGCTTTCATCAGCCTTTCCTGATTAGCTTTCATTGTTATTTAAATAGTAATTGTGTTGCTAATATATCTGACCTTGGATCACAAAAGAAGTAGAGACAAACACAAACAGAGAACCCATGTAGAAAAGTAGTTATGTATTCTGAGTGCACTTTACCTGAAAGGGGGTATCTTGAGAAAACATGATATGCATGCCAAGACAAAGATTTCCTGATTTATTTAAGAGAGAAGGAGCATACTGATTTGCTAAAGGAGAGAAAAAGGAGGGGTCTTTTGACATACCTTGTCGGTGTAGACGAAGAAGAGAATTACCACGGTGAGCTCCAGCACAAATATAATTAACAGCATGATAAAAAACTGTCAAGAGAAGAGGGATGGGAGAGAAAAGCCCAGAATCATCAAAAGTCTGTTTCATCTTCCCAATGTTGCACAACGGTTGGATCTTCTACTAGGAAGTATACCTTTGCATTGATGATATCACTTCCCATGTAGATGGAGGCTCACGTGAATTGATTTTCCTTCATACAAGAAAATTCCACACATATCATAAAATAACGGGGAAATTACAAAGCTAGAACCCATACTATTAGATTTGATTTTCTATGCAAAGGAAATGTTTCTGAATGAGTATGTAATAAGGAGCCCCACATGTAATTTGATACAATATACAGGCAGTCCCTGAGTTACAAACATTCAATGTACAAACAACTCACTGCTACAAACGGGGGTGAGACAACAGGAAGTGAGAGAAATCTACCCCTAGGAAGCAACATTCACTCTTGAAAGAGTTATCATGGGGAAACTAAAGCTTTATCACCAATCCTTGTTTCCACAAAAAGCCATTTTTTTTTCAAAATAGACAAAGATAGAAAGTGAGGTGAAATTTTCTTAACAGGGGCACACGCAGCAAAGCAAACAGCACGGGGGTGATATTCCTTCCCTATGCTATCCAAAGCTTCTATTTCTCTCTCTCTCTCTATCTATCTATCTATCTATCTATCTATCTATCTATCTATCTATGAACTTACACTTAAAAATGAACCTGTTCCAACTTGAGAACAAACCTACAGAACCTATTTTGTTCATCACTTGGGGAGGAGTTGTAGTGCAATTGACCTTAGGAGGAGACACACAAAAGTCTTCATGGTACAAACAATATTTATCATGACTCCAACTTAGGGAACGTACACCTGGAAAGAGGCCAAAGAATTCAGGAAGAGAACCAAAGCACCAAATGTGGAAATTACTTTTACCTACAATAGCTAAGATACATCTAGAATATTCAGATAAGCAATGCTGGATGATACCAAATAACTTTCTGTTCCAGTATTCTATTTTTACAGTAGATGCCTATGAGAAAGGTTTTGATACTAGAAATGATATGCAGGTTACCATGACTAGTAGCTAATTCGAGGTCTTATCTTCCCCAAATTTGACCCCTTTCAAAAGCCACCCAATCTGGTTGATATTAATACAACTTTCAGCAACAAACATCATAGCTGAACTATGCATTATACTTTCTTTGATATGTCTTAACTCTCCCACCACCAAAGCTCATTTGTTAATCCTGCATTCTAAAATTATAGGGGAAGTTTGAAACAGTTCTCTGATCCATTTTCTCATATATATATTGTGTGTCTTCCTTTGCTGAGAAGCTAAAAAGCCTAAAATCCTGTAATCTTTTTTCCTATAAGAATTGTTCTCCTCCAGGATCATTTTACCCCCTGATCATTTGTTCTTTTCTCCACCTTTTCTACCAGTAGACTGTATTCTGTGAATAGAGGTGATCAGAGCTATATACAACAGACCTGCACAATGCTTTCCTGGTGTTCTGGACTTCAGCTCTCAGAATTCCTGACCATTGGATGAGTTGGTTAGGACTTCTGAGAGTTGCCGATACAAACACCTGGTGGGTCACAGGTTGTGCAGGCCTGAGTATTCTGGGCATGGTTGCATTGCAGAATTGTATGAGGATAACTGAGTACCTTCAAGTCATTTCTGACTAATAGCAACCCTATCACTGGGTTTTCTGAGACTAATAGTGAGAGAGTTGCCCAAGGTCACCCAATGGGTTTTATGGCTGAGTGGGAATTTCAACCATGGTCTCCAGAGTGGTCGTCTAATGCTCAAACTACTATGCTACACTGGCTCTATGATACTGCAAATTTTATTTTTATTTCATACACGAAATACTTTCTCTCCAGAGTTTGGAGAGAATGTATTAAAAGAAACACCAGTATCAATTATTTGTTACATTTCTGAGTAAGGTTGAGGTAAGGGAATTACTTTTGGAGGAGGATGGGACAATCTCCAGAAATATTACTTCAATTGTTCAATAACAAGGACTCTTTATTATTTATGAAGCTGACCTAAATACAGGAGATGGCTAGGGTTGTTTTTTCCTGTTTGATTTTTAAATGGCGAAAGAACAAGGCTGTCTTGAATGAGGATCCCCCAACCACTTAGAACAATGCAGAATCCTTTCTGTTGCTGCTTCTCTTCCAATCCTGAATCTAAGCTGCTGTTCAAAAAAACCTGTAGGCAGTGTGGCTGCAAGACAATCACAATTCCTTCCTCTAGGATCGGTGTTCTCAAACTTTTTCAGCTGTGGAGCCCTTTTTGAAGCAAAAGTTTTTCATGAGCCTCAAGAAATGTTTATATATTATATTATAGATAATGTATATATATCAGGCATGGGCCTGGCCAGTAGCAGATGGATGGAGAGTGTTTGAATAAACTAATTCACACAGTGCCAAAAAATGGAAAGAAAGAAAGAACAATGAAATATTTTAAATGAAGAACAACAAAAACTTAACAGTATTTCAGTGGAAGATTACTGGGGCCATCCAGCCGAACCCTCTTCTGCCATGCAGAAAAAAAAAACAACCAAAGTACCCCTGGGGGTGCAGTGGGAAGGAAATAGGGTTTTGGAAACAAGAAAAGCAGGTCAGAGGGTCTGGGCGGCAAGGAAAAGGGTCTGGGCAGTGAGGGAGGCAGAGGAGAAACAATCTGTGCTTCAGGAGGACACTGCTGCTGCTATTTCAAGTAGCTCAAAACTTTAATTTCCCTGCATTTCTCGAGAGGAAGAAAGAGGAGGAAGTGGGAAGCAGCATGGCGCTGTGAAGCTCCTCACTATCACTCATGGACCCTCAAGAGCTCCGCAGAGAACAGTTTGAGAACTCCTTCTCTAAGGGCTGGAGCATCATATCACTGAGTAAATAAACCGGGATTTTTCGAGTCAGAACTCAGAAACACCAATGCATAGCATCTCAGTTTGTTCCAAATGGTATAGGAGGGCATTGTTCAATACAGGTTGAGCATCCCTTATCTGGAATACCAAAATTTGAAATTCTCCAAAAAATTATATGATTACAGGGTTGTTGCAGGTTTCTCGGGTTGTATGTTCATGTTCTAGAAGCATTCTCTCCAGATGTTTCGCCTGTGTCTGTGGCAAGCATTCTCAGAGGTTGTGAGGTTTGTTGGAAACTGGAAAATGGGCTTTATATATCTGTGGAAGGTCCAGGGTGGGAGAAAGGACTCTTCTCTGTTGGAGCTAGGTGTGAATGTTTCAGTTGGCCACCTTGATTAGCATTTGATGGCCTGACAGTTTTTAAGTGTGGTTTGTTACCGCCTGGGAAATTTCCTTGTTGAAAGGTGACCAGGTGTTCCTGATTGTTTCCTGGCTGGAGTTCCCCTGATATATAAACCCAATTTTCCAGTTTCCAACAAACCTCACAACCTATGAGGATGTTTGCCACAGATGCAGGCAAAACGTCAGGAGAGAATATTTTTAGAACATGGCCATACAACCCGAAAAATCTACAACAACCCAGTGATTCCAGCCATGAAAGCCTTCAACAATATATGAGTTTGAAAAACCCTTTCCCTGAATGCTATTCTGGGCATCATCCTGGATATGCAATCTTCCTTTCATCCTTAAAATGAGCATGTGGGGTAGGTCAAGTTATGAGGCAGCAACTGACTTCCAACATTCTGTGAACACCCGAATATGGGATTTGAAGCCAGGCTTTCCAAGTTCTAATCAGTGGAGCACATGGCCACATCTTACCTACTGCATGTTGTTTTTGGTCCGTAAAAGGTATCCTTTATTTTTTTTTGCTAAGATTATGCTGATAATTTAATGTGTAGGAAAGCTGACTTTGCTGGAAAAAAGTGAGCAGCAAATAGCTAAGGAAGTGGCCTTGGATTTTTTCTTTTTCATTTAATCCTTTTAAGCTATTCAAAAGGTATATCTATATAATAAAAGAGAGTGTTTGTAGTGGAAGGGCAGAAGTGTGGAGGGCGGACGTGTTTGTGGCAGCTTTCCGATTGGCTAGCCTGAAAGTTCCAAGATTCTGATTGGCTGCCGCTGTGGTGCTATTTGCATATGGTCTCTGATTGGCCAGCTTCACAGGAGCCCCTGGTGGAGAAAAGGGTTCATGACAGAAACGGAGACATGAGAGAAGGAAATTTACATATGGTCTCTGATTGGCCAGCGTCAATTCCAAGATTCTGAGATGACAAAGAGAGGAAAGGAAAAGGCCAGAGGGGGCTGAGTCAGAAAATTACCAATACAGACCACACTTGGCAAACAGAGCCCCCATGACCCACTCTACATCCTACTGCAGTTTGGAGGAGGATGAACCATGGATGATGGGACTTGCAGTAGCATCACTCACATTCAGAGACCACTGTTAACCTCATCCAATGACTGATCAGGACCAAACCTGGCACATAGACCTCTCATGACCCACCTTATGGACTTGGATGATGGGACTTGCAGTCACTTCACTCACTTCCTGAGACCACTGAGACCCTCGCCAATGACTCATCAAGACTAAACTTGGCACATGGAGCTTCAATGACCCACTCTACATCCTGGAGCAGTTTGGAGGACGACAGACCATGGATGATGGGACTTCAAGTACCTCCACTACCCAAGACTGCTGAAAAACTAATCTAATGACCAATCAAGACCAAAGTTGCCACACAGAGCCCCCATGACCCACTCTACATCCTGCTGCAGTTTTGGAGAAGGGTGGACCATGGATGATGGAACTTCCAGTATCTTCACTCACATTCTGAGACCTCTGGAAACCTCATCCAATGACGGATGAAGACCAAACTTGGCACATAGACCTCTCATGACCCACGTTACGTCCTGGTGTTGTTTGGAAAACTTTGGAGATGGATGATGGGACTTGCAGTACCTTTGCTCACTTCCTGAGACCACTGAGACCCTCGCCAATGACTAATCAAGACTAAACTTGGCACATGGAGCTCCAATGACCCACTCTACATCCTGGTGCAGTATGGAGGAGGACAGACCATGGATGATGGGACTTCAAGTACCTCCA